GAATCTGACCCTGAGGAATTATCAGATGAAGCAAGTGCTGACACCTTCTATGGAACTTCTCCTCCTAGTACGCCCCGCCAGATGAAGCGTATGTCAACAAAGCATCAGAAAAATAACGTTGGGAGACCTGCTAGCCGCTCCTCTTTGAAAGGTAAGTGTGGTGTTTTGTTTTTTTTCCTAAAATGACTGTAAAGTCGTCGTAGTAGCCCTTCGTTACCTCATGGAGGAGATACACAGAAGATGGAGCCAGATACTGAGGTGCAGTGAAAGGACAGGAGGCAGCTGACTTAAGTTGCAACAAGGCAAGACTCTTTTGGGTATTAGAAGAAAAATTTTACTATGAGAGTGGTCAAACAGTGAACAGTTTGCCAGAAAGGTTGTTGAACCTCCATCTCTGAAGGCTTCCAAAACACAACTGGATAAGATCATGAGCAGGCTAAACTAGTTTTGAAATAAACCCTGCTTTGAGCAGGAGGTTGGAAAAAATGACCTTCAGAGGTATTTTCCAATCAATTTTTTTCTGCGATTCTATAGTTTCTAGTAATAGTTGCTTCTTTGCCCCAGTTTCATGTTCTGAAGCACTTCACAGTCTATTTTATAGAAAAATAGAGTTTTCAGTGATTATTCTTTACTCTTTAGTGTCACTGAAGCAATTAAATTGTAGTTACCACTGTTTACTTCTGTTGATGCTTTAGTCATAAAGTCATAACTGGGGAAAAAACAAAAGATACTTGATATACGTTTTTTCCTAATGTTACTAAATAACGATATCAAATACTAAATAAAAACATTTTTAGGTTAAAGTATGATTTTTAAGCTTTTTTCTTTACTTTTGAGCAGATATAGAATACAGTAATTGCTTGTTGAAAAGATAATTTTAAAAAACATGCAGTAGCTACATCTTTTCAAGCTGCCCTTCCAAGAAAAAAAGAAAAAATGTGCCATTTCAGTGGTTTTGCTGAGCTTGTGATGGGTGCAAAAAAGCCATTTTTAAGATTGTATGTTCAGTATTTTCATACAAAACATACCTAGGTTTTGTGTTGTGGTGGTGTTCTTTGGTTTTTTTTGTTTGGTTGGTTTTTTTAAACCTAGGTCAGACAAGGTTATTTGCCACAGTTGTTATGGCAGCTTGACTATCGCCAGTTAATATTTTGGAAGCAATTTTTTAAATTGCTTCACATGAAACAGGAAATGTTATCACAGAGTGCACTTACTTGCAAGGATTACATTTTCAAGGTAACGTGTAGGGGAGAAGAAGGTAAATGGTTTAGCATGAATAAGGGAATACAGTCTATTCTTCAGTTGCATAGAGTTGTGGAGTGCAAGTTCATAATAAGAGAAGGGCTCATGCAAATGTCTTCCAAAGCTTTTGGTTCCCTTCCATTTCATGCAGCCTCTGAATAATGTCACTGTGAAGAGAGCATTAACCAAAAGACTTCTTCCTTAAACTAAATTGAAGAGAAATCTTGTTATACTTGTCAGTTAGTTGTGTAGGCATTGGAATTATTAAGCTTCTTTTACTGGCTTTTAATTGTCTTTTGGCTGAGTTAAACTCTTCTAATGCAACATTAACCTTATTTAGTTCTGTATATAGTAGTTATGTAATAACTTTTCTTGCTTTCTGTGAATTTTTTTTCTTGGTTCTGTGCTTTTTTTTTTTTTTAAAAAAGGTTAGTCTCTAAACAGAGAAATTGTGATACTAAAGAACTATAATGCATAATATTTCATAGTAACCCTTTGGTGCTGAGCATATATTGAGGATCGATACCTTTATGAGAAATAGGGAGCTGTTGTTTATCCCTGCTAATAGATTTTCAGTTTTTGGACCAAGGTATCTCTCTGTCTTTCTACTTGTGAGGGGAATGGTTCTTGCTTCTGGAATAATAATATCCTGTTCTTGGTTGCTGTGAGTGTATCTTAAAATATGTTTGGGTTGGGGGTTTTTTGATGAATTGGGTAGTGTTGTATTGTGTCAAATGTCTTTTCTGGAAAGTTCATAGTTCATTTTGTTTAGCTTTGCCTATATGTACAACCTCAGAAAATTTATTCTGTATTGGGGGGGGACAGACGGACAACAAACCCACCCCGAAACCAACAACTTCAAAGTGGACTAGTTGATTGACCTTGAATGTGTACACATATGCTGTTATGAGATCGAATTGGTTTTACTTCAGTAAGAGAATTAATTCAGGGGTTAGTTTTATGTAACTAATCAGTTTAAAAAGTAAATTTGAAATAACTTTTCAGTTGTTTACATATAACACAGATTTAATGTATCTTTATTTAGACAACTGAAAGAATTTTTGGTATTAGGGGCTTGCTTACTTGCATCTCCAATGTTTGTTTGTTTAATTTCTGTCACACCAAGTTTCTTATAACTTGCATTTAGTATCAAAAAATAAACCGGTGCAATTATCTGTTTAAACTAGTTTCTGAATCGTTTCTCCTGTAGCCCAAGACCCATGGGATTCACGTTTTCTAAGCCAAACGTGTTTCAGAGTTGCTCCTAAGACATATATTTGTCTCCTGCTTGTTTTTTCTGACTCAGAGAGTATGGAGTGTCAGTCCAGTGATGCTTGCTTACTTACTGAAGTATTAGCTTCTTGGACTATATGAAAAACAGTGCCCCTGTCTGCTTTTTTGTATGAAACTTCTGCAACTTCATACTTCAAGGGGAACCTCTGTCCACCCCACTTTCTTACCCCCATCAAGTTCCTCAAGTTCATTTTGTCTTTTTTTTTTTTTAATGAGCTGTTTAAGATCTCAGGCTCTACCATGTGCCCCCTCTCACCAGCCGATCGTTGCTTAGTCGTGAAACCTACTTGCCCCATGTAGCACTAAAGGTAATTGTAACTCAAAATTTGTTAATACAGCTGAACTTGTTTTACAAATTGATTTAAGCCTATATTACAAAACTACAATAAAATTAGTAGTAGGAACTCATACAGTTATAACATTGGTACTCATTTATTACAGAATTGTCATGTATATTTGAATCATTGGTACCTGTTTATTTGATAAAATGAGAGGATTTTGAAACAATTTGTAGATTATTGTGCCTGGGCTTTGTTAAGAATGATGAATATTCAAGTATGAGAGCATTTTGGATGTCTAATTATGAATCATATTTTTAGCTTGCCTTTCTTTCAATCTGTTTTGGTGGGGTGGAGAATCTGAAGATTAATATTGAAGGAGAATAACATGTTAAAAATACAAACTCAAGGGGTTTAGAGGACCTCCTGGTATCTAGAGTGTAAGTTCAGAAAGTGATCTTTAAATGTGCCAGGGTTTTAATTTATTTTGCAAGGTCACCAAGATCTTTAAGATCAAAGTGCTGTTAAAAGCTGATCCATTTCTAATCTACCTCAGAGTCTGGGGTGAGTATGTATGTGTGTTTCATCTGCCAACCTCCTTCATCTTCCTTCTTCTCTCCTGCCAATGCAGAACATGTCTTCCTGCTGCTTGCCTGTCCTGACTTTTAGCCTTGTGTTCTGTCTGGTGCTGGTTAACCTCATGAGTTAGTAACCAGTGAGTGTGAGGTACCGCTGTCTGACAGTAGTGTTTGAGTAGATAAATGTAAAATCAATGATAGTGAATTCCATAGCAAGTTTCTTAAAATCACCGATAGGTTTCCACTTCCAGGAGGAAAACTGTGTTTGAGTTAGGTTTTTGTCATCTGCTGTTGTACTTGGTAGCTATTCAGGGAAAGATGTATGAATACCTGAAATAAAAGTAGTATAAGAAGCACTAATAAAGTCCATATTTGCAAGAAACAGTTTCTGTGATGACTTTGTGATTCTTCTTTCTTCCTCATATCCTTCAGAATATAATTTCTTTTTTTTTCCAGAGTTAAGTGCCATTGTACGCATTGTGACCTGCCCCAATCTTACACAACTATGGCAAGGAGGCAGTGTGGCAGGTCACACCCTTACTAACTCGCTTATTGCTCATTAACAGCTGAGAACAGGGTTTGTAATGGAAACAAGCAAAGGAAGGTGCTCTGGCCACAAACCTCTCCACTTCTCTTTCAGACACCTCTGCAACCTTAATACAATTCCTTTGTGTGCATAGATTTGATAGTCTTTGAGCTACATTACCACACCAGCTCTTTTCCAGAGAACCGCTGTCTTACACGAATATAGAGATTGTTTGGAATTTTGTGATGAAGGAAACATTTCTGTATGACTGTACCTTCTTTTGTTGCAGATGCTGGAAGATACGTAGTGAATGAAACAAGAACGAAGGGCCAGCTGATAATTAAGTCAGTGAAGTGCATTATATGATTACAGCATTCTGTCACAAAAATTTGTGTGATGCTAGGCAAATAGCACAAATTAAAATCTTCTGTCTGTTTCTTGTTTTCCTAGAAGCAAGCTAGGAATAAGATTTCTGGGATGTGGTTTGCAAATCGTTGAAAATTCAAGGTGCAATTGAAGTCAGGGAGCGTTGAACACTAAGTGCTCAATGTTCTGAAATGTTGAGCAATAGCTCTTCCCATTTTTGGCACCCAAAAGTATGCTGGCTTAATGGATCTTTCTCTGTCATGATTTTCCATATATAGAAAGGGAAGAATATTATTCTTCCTGTCGTGGTTTAACCTCAGCTGGCAACTGAGCCCCACACAGCTGCTCACTCACTCTCGCCCCCCGGTGGGATGGGGGGGAGAATTGGAAGAGTAAAAGTGAGAAAACTCATGGGTTGAGATAAGAACAGTTTAATAATTGAAATAAAATAATATAAAATAGTAATAATAATAGAAGAATACTCAAAGCAAGTGATGCACAATGCAATTGCTCACCACCCGCCAACCGATGCCCAGCCAGGCCCCGAGCAGCGGCCCCCCCGGCCAGCTTCCCCCAGTTTATATACTAAGCATGATGTGTCACACGGTATGGAATATCCCTTTGGCCAGTTTGGGTCAGCTGTCCTGGCTGTGCCCCCTCCCAGTTTCTTGTGCACCTCCAGCCTTCTCAGTCGGTAGAGCATGGGAAGCTGAAAAGCCCTTGACTAGTGTAAGCACTGCTTAGCAACAACTAAAACATCGGTGTGTTATCAACATTGTTCTCATCCTAAATCCAAACCACAGCACTGTACCAGCTGCTAGGAAGAAAATTAACTGTATCCCAGCTGAAACGAGGACATTCCACTGAGCAGGCCTGTTTTGCAAATAACCTTATTAGTATTTCTGGTATTAATGGATGTTATAGTGAGGAGCACAGTAGCAAAGACTTTGAGTCTTTACTACTTCTAGAGTGGGCAATGAGCCATGTGCAGCAGGTAATCCTTAGAGTCACAGTGAAAAGAAGGCAAAGTATTCATCCATCGTTCTGAAAGTCTTTTCTGTTCTTGAATAAGCAGGGGCCCTGTGACCGCATAGTTTGTTGTGTTTCAACTGCTGATCCCTGGACTGCAGCTAGTCTACATACAGGTGCTTCCCTCCAGCCTGCCACCAATTCCTTAAGAGGGAGAGAGAGAACCGCTGTTTTAGTACCAAGTAGTTCCCCCTGTCCTGATCTGCAAAGCCTAGATTGAAGCACTTTTGTTAGTGCTGCAGAAGAGTGATAAGGTCTGCTTCTCCTGAGGAAAGGACAGGAAGAGAAGAGGAGATTGCACAATTAGTCAGGAAAGGGCTGCTGTTACATGGTAAGGGAGAAGGCAAGTGTTTGTGTGTTGGGAGAGTGGAGAAGTAGGGTGCTGGTGTTAAGGCAGTGTATTAAGACTACAGAGGGGTTCCGAGAACTAAGATCAAGCCCCCCAGGAGCCAGGATTGGATCATTCAAGCTAAATTTCAGAATCCAGACATACTCCAGTTTTTATGAAATTGTGTGTGCAGTTCTCTTTGATTCTGTTTGACTTGGAAACCTTAATATTGCTCTGTTGCATTTAGAGTTTTTGTTTGGGAGGTTGTGTGACAAATGTATGGAAAATGAACTTGGAAACCATTCTTTTCCTTTTGATCATACTCAGTTCTCAGTAGATGGTGTACTCTGAGAATTCTCTGAGGTCCTTTCTACAGAAGAGGTAAAGCAAAAGGAGGAAAAAAAAATCCCTTTGGTGCTACTATTGATTTAGCTATACAAATGGTAATTTCCAAGACTGCGTTTTACTTCTACCCATGCCTGTTTTGTTTTATTAGTGTTAAACAATCTTTTATGCTCAACCTAAGAAATGTGATTGGGACCTGGATTGAACAATGCTTTTTCTTGTTGCTGCAATCACATTCTTTCTTTTCTTTCTTTTCTTACAGAAAAGATGAGTGTGCCAACTCAGTCTGTGCATAAAGACAATGGGAAAACCATGGAGAATGTGGAGGAGCACAGCTATAAGCAAGGGAAAAAGATCAGAGATGCCCTAAGGACAACAGAACGAGATCACAAGAAAAATGTGCAGTGCTCATTTATGTTAGACTCAGTTGGTGGGTCTCTGCCAAAAAAAACAATTCCAGATGTTGATCTCAATAAGCCTTACCTCAGCCTTGGCTGTAGCAATGCTAAGCTTCCAGTCTCTGTGCCCATGCCAATACCCAGAACTGCACGCCAGACTTCTAGGACTGATTGCCCGGCAGACCGCTTAAAATTCTTTGAAACCCTGCGGCTTTTGTTAAAACTTACCTCAGTCTCAAAGAAAAAGGACAGGGAGCAAAGAGGACAGGAAAACACCTCTTCTGTCTGGCTGAACCGATCCAATGAACTGATCTGGCTGGAGCTGCAAGCTTGGCATGCTGGCCGGAGCATTAATGACCAAGACCTCTATCTCTATGCAGCCCGTCAAGCTATCCCTGATATCATCAATGAAATCCTCACCTTCAAAGTGAACTATGGAAGCTTCTCCTGTGTAAAAAATGGAGCCAGTCTCAATGGTACTTCAGGAGAAGGAGTTTGCAAAGCAACACATGGAACTAGTGCTTTGGGTTACTCAAGTTACCATGAACACCTCCATCGCCAGCGGGTCTCATTTGAGCAAGTTAAGCGGATAATGGAGCTGCTAGAGTATATAGAAGCACTTTATCCATCTCTGCAGGCTCTTCAAAAGGACTATGAAAAGTATGCTGCAAAGGACTTCCAAGACAGAGTGCAGGCACTCTGTCTATGGTTAAATATTACAAAAGACTTAAATCAAAAACTAAGGATTATGGGAACTGTATTGGGCATCAAAAATCTTTCTGACATTGGCTGGCCAGTGTTTGAAATTCCTTCTCCTCAACCATCTAAGGACAAAGATCCAGACGATGAAGAAGTTGATAGGGAAACAGAAGTAAAGGAATCCTCAGGAACATGCACAGAGGAGAGCGATGGTGAAGAACAAATCTCTGAGGAGAATGTTGAAGAACTTAGACAAGCCATCAAGAACAATTTTACTAATAAACCAAATTTTGACTTTCAGGACCAGTTTTCAAGGAGGCTTGATAGGCTTGAATCTGAGGATGACTCCACCTCTTGGGTTATTCCAGAGTACAGTGCTGAGGCAAGCTGCAGCCAACACTGTTTGACCTCTATTTACAGGCCGTTTGTAGATAAAGCACTGAAGCAAATGGGGTTGAGGAAGCTAATTTTAAGACTGCACAAGCTAATGCATGGTTCATTGCAAAGGGCCCGTATGGCGTTGGTAAGGAGTGATCACCAGCTGGAGGTAGGTTGCTACTAGTGTAAATGGATAACAGGAGTACCTCCCCTGCTGTATTGTTTCTAACTGAAACTGGAGGAATAGTAATCTTATGAAAGTTTTGGTTGCTCTGTTGGCTTTTGAAAGATAGTGTTTGTCATGATTAAGAGGCCAGTTCTGCTTCCACTGAAATGAATCTGTCGTTTGACATGAATTAGAATTTGTGTGAAGCACAAGCTAGTTCTCTGTTCTTGTTTGTAATTGAAATGACCTTTTTATGATAACATCGCTTATTACACTTTCTGATATCTAAAGCCGTTTAAGTCAGAAAAATTACAATGGAAAATTAGGCACAAAAGTTGAATCGTGAGGAAAAATTAGCTATGGAAGTGGTCATTTTCCTTTTCTTGTCTTCAAGACTGGATATCTCCCTGCAAGACATCCTCTATGAAAACATCACTATTGTTCTGGGTTTTTCCTCATCTAAATGAATGAAGTACTGTGGTGGCACGTTATGCTTGAGGCCAGATCGGATAAATGAATGGACTCTCTTAACCTTGAAATCTCTGAAAGCAAGTCATGTTAGTGTGTTACATTCTTTGGCGGCTCTTAGTTTATTTTTTTTTAATTTGGGTCTTTTTATATTCTTAATTAAGAATGATTGTGAGGTAATAAAAACAAAATTATGAAATAAGCGGTAAACAAAGGACAGTAGCTGAAGTTTCATATGGTAAGTTGTGGTCATTAATTCTTTCAAGGCAGAATATTGTTTCTTAGTATAAACTATTACCTAACTTGTAGGCATTTTTATATTGGGAAGAACTAGTAGTAAGGATTACTTGCCCTCCTTGATGAAGTGGCACTGTGTGGGGGCCTAACCATGGATTCTGGATGAAGGAATTTCTTAGCCAACATGCCTGTTCTAATATGGATGCCACATGTGGTCTTTGACACATTGCTGATCTCTTAGTGCTGACTGTCACATTTGCAAAAGGAACAAACATTGTTTATCTCCCTTGGAGGTTATTTTTTTAGGATGAATAAATTTATATTTATAAAGTTATTTGATTTTGAAAAAGCTTTTATTTGTGCTGTTGCTAATGTAGATATTACTGCAAAAAATGAAGCTATTAGTTAAATTTTTATTTGTTCTCTAATTGGTTTCAACTTGTGTTCTAGGAAGTTTTGCATTAAGAAAATCTTAGTGTATTTCTAGAGAGTCACGTGCCTAAACAAAACTTGCAGGTATCTGTTGTTAAGTACCCCCAAACCATATAAACTTAAACAGAAAGTTCAGCTTAATATATAGGTAGAAATACCTTTAAAAAACCCAAAGGAAATAAAACATAATTTGGGGGTATTGAAAATTACTTTGAACATATTTTTGAGATGGCTAAACACCTCAAATGTTTTGACTTCATAAGGGTTCTTAAAACAAGTTAATGAAACACTAGTAGCTAGAGTCTTTGCTGCAGCTTCACAGAATTAAACTCTCTGGTAATTTAGCGTTGGATGACTTGTGTAAGATGTAAGGTTAATCTTTTCTCCCTCCTTCTCTACCCTTGTGACTTCTTTGAATGTTCATTTTCAGTAATTATTTCATGTTCTTTGGAATATTGTTCTCTTTTAAGAAATGACTTTATGACTAAATGTGAATGTTATAAAATTGTAAACTTCTTTCCTGCCCCAAAAGTAAAAGAATGCTGTCAAAAAAAGAAAATACTGTTTGTTAGAAGTGTGGTACCTACTGCAGCAAAAGATGACATCAGACTAAAATAGATGTTTTTGAATTGCTTGGTCTTTGCATCTGATAGTACTTTAAATGTAGTGTCTTAGGTTTTTTTAGTAGAGTTCAGTTTGATATTTGTATGCAGCCAGAGCTGTTAGTGTTTTGTTAATCTTTGTTACTTCTGGTTTTTTTTAATCTTGACTCTGTGTTTATGTGTGTACATACACTTTAAAATCTCTGGACATACTTTCATTTCTATTGTTACTTAAACACTATCTTTCATCTAAAATGTGCTTTCTGGATTCTTCCACTGTATGCATTTTAATGCTCATTTCGTCTTTATTATATGTAAATAGCTGGTTTTAGTGGTTTTTAAAGTACAAGTTTCATTCGTCATAGGCTCTGATACTTTAACAAGGCTCTAGGCACTATAGAGTCTGTTTTGTGTAGAAGTTGTATGATTTGATTCTTAAAGAAAATGGTAATATTTCTTAGTTTAAAAAAAAATCAGAGATGTTATTTTAGTAGAACAGTATTTAAGCCTGTGTACCCTGTTTGTTGTTTATTCAACTGGCTGCACTTTTGAGTATGGATTTTATGTATGATCTCAATAAATGGCTTGGACTTTGTTTTCTTGGGGGTTTTTAAGAAGTATTTGGTAGTCACTTGAAACATTTCCGATTGGGCCCTCTGAAGATTAAGATTAGTCAAATTGAACAATAGAAGTTTAGGTGTCTAATACTAAGCCCTAATGTCATGTGCTGTTATCCTTGATGTTAGAAAATGAAATAACGTATTTATTCAATTTTGTTGTGTTATTTTTGCTCATAGACTAGTTCTTTAATATTTTTATGAGCACTAAATTTTCCAATGCTATACTTGCATCACAATGAAGATTGTATTTCTTAAATATTTTGTTGTACTGTAGAAGTGTAGTATTTTCATGATCTGTTATTAATGAAAACTTCTTGTATAAAAGCCTTTAGCTCTGGTGCTATGTGTTTCTTTAAAAGAGTTAGTAAAAAGAAGACATTAATACACCATCTAAGAAGATAAGTTCTTGTACTGTAGATCAATTAGTGATTAAACTTCAACTAAACTCGGTATAGAGGAAATCCCTGCTCATGCATGTTTGCTATCTCTGCATAATGAGCTAGTGGTTTTATAAACCACTTAAGAATCTGCAGCACATAATACGTTTTGTGCCAACGTTAGACAGTAATGAATATGCTATTCCATCCCCCATGACAGTTGAGAAACATCACAATATTAAAAAAAACCAACCACTAAGAAAACCGACTTTGTCAGTAACTGTAATTTTGTGTAGATCTTCTGAGAAAGCAGAGCTTGTACAACACCACAGGCACAAATGTAAAAAATGTGTGTGTAGGTGTAAAGGAATAAACAATTTTTTTTTTTTTTGTTATTTTCTGCTAGATAATAAGCTTAAAAGTGGCTTAAATTTTTTTAACTTTCTAGGCAGCACTTTAATCACTTGATCTTGTTTCTGGTAATGTTTCCCCTCCTTTGAAGTGATATTATTTAAATTTGGCACTGAAGAAAAAACTAAAAAATGCTAGTTATATCTAATATATGAATGAAGGATATTCAGGTGTCATAGTTAGCAGCTGTGAAATGAGAATTAGAATAAAACAAACTTAATCTGAAACAAATCTTATCCTTAGATGATGTACAGTGTGTTGTTATCTTTAAGAGCTGCACACATATCGCAGTCCAAATTTTCTTTCTAAATTAAACCCCAGAGCACCTCCATGTACAGCTTTGCTTCAAATGTTATCACAAGTTATATAGTTTAGATGTCTAGAAGGTCTATTTCAGATAGTTGAAATTATTTTCTCTAATTAGAAGTGTCATTTCATTTAAATGTAACTTTCATTTAAATGAAAAATAAGTTTATTAATTGAAAAAAAAACAGCTTGATCTCTTTATATTTTATCTTTTTTAATTTCAGTTTCAATTTCTTAACATCTACCGAAGTTCATAAGTTATTTTTTCAATAGTTTTGTTCAATTCAGCTAGTGACACTTTCTTGAATATTACATTACTTTACAGTGTGCAGTTTTATATAATATATGCACTATGTATTTGAAAAGGAACAAGGTTACTCACCTGACGTAGCCAAGTGCAAACTTGTTTCTCTAGATATAGTCATTAGTGTAAGACCTTTTTATTTATTTTTTTAAATATATTTTGAAGTTCTCAAAGTCTTGTATCTTATATAGGAACATATTCAGGTCATTATATTATGTTAGGCTTAACTTGTAGGTCATCATAACAATGATAACAAACAGCAGTTTCTTCCTGTGTAGTGAGGTGATTGCAAGCTTTAATGGATGCTTTAATCATTTTAAAACAGAAACATAAGAGATTTTTTTTGTTCACTCCCAAGGGTCCATAATTGTTTTCCTCAGCCTGGTGATCCTCAAATAAAAAAAGTAAAAAAGGTTACCTTTAAAAAAAAAAAGAGAGAAATTGAAACTTCTGTGGTTGATTTGCCAGTTAATAGAATCTTACCTTTTAAAAATAGACTTTTGTGCATGCTACTTTAAACAAATGCTAAATCCTAAAGAATTTGAGGATCCTTTTCATGATACCTATTTCTTGTTACAGTTTTCAGAATTTCCAGATCCCATGTTGTGTTCAGATTATGTGCAGTTATTAAATTCCCCACCTTGTTGTGAGCAAAAATGCAGCACCGTATCATGGGAGGAGCTGAAATCCATGGACTTACCGTCTTTTGAACCTGCATTCTTGGTCCTCTGCCGAGTCCTGCTCAATGTTATCCATGAATGTCTCAAGCTAAGGTTGGAACAAAGACCTGCTGGGGAACCATCTCTTTTGAGTATTAAACAGGTTTGCTTCAACTGTTTCTTTTTATATTGCCTATTTGAAATGACTTTGTCATTTTGTTATGATAAGGTTGTTGGTTTAAAGAGGATTAGTTTAAGAAATTACAATGTATAATTATAATAACTTTTATAAATAGTCTTGTATTTCATATGGAGATCTGGTTTTTGCGTAGTAAACAACTGGTCATATATACCTCTCTGATTTAGACTTCCAGGAATCAAAATTGGTGATTAAAGAATTATCAGCCAATGAAGGTAAACAGTATTTGTTCCATTTGCATTATAAATTATCTAAGCTTGTCCAGCACGTCTTCCTCCATTTGGGTTTCTTAAGCAGCTAACCAGTTTTAAGGGTCTGTATATTTCTTTTTTCTTTGATTTGATCCTTTTTTCTTTGCAAACGTAAGACCTCTGCCAGCATACAGTGGACACATAGTAGAAGTTGATTAAGAAGAAAAACAGAATGGAAAAAAAAAAATCTACTTTCCCAGCATATTGTTCTATATAAATACCTGATATTTTCTGTGGGTAGTGACCCAAGATTGTCAGTCCTGTCGCCGGCTGAGAATGTTGTATGAGGATTTATTTTCTGGTGGTTATCTGATACAATGAAGGCTATTTAGATCAATGCCATTTTTCAGAGTGTAGTCCAGGACATACTAAAATTGTCTGAAGTAATCTCCCTGCTCCCTGGCAAGCATAACCAGATCAGGGTTTTATCAGGTGGTCTTTAAGGGTAAACATTTAAATAAGCTCTTGGGATGATTCTGATTTCACATTCCAGTTATCTGCTGCTCTAAAATCAATTGCTAAATTACATTATGGTCCCAAATAAATTTCAGTCCTCTCTCTTCCCCTTCCCTGCCCCCCCGCCTTTACTCCCCCTCTTTTTTTTCCTTGGTATACTAGGATTTTGGATGTCCTTGTATCCAAAAGCACAGTACCTACAATTTCAGTCTTAAGAGTTGTAGTTATAGTAAAATATAATATAGCCTACTGTATTATAAAGCACAATATATCCTTTTTTTCCCAGAGACTGGGGCTACTTTTTTGCCCTTACATTTTTGTATTCTCCTTGTGGACTTTGAGTTCAGTAAAAATGACAGTTTCTTCCTGGAAAACAACATGGTTGTTACAGACTGTTTTGATGGTGTATACTGTCTTGCTAATTACATTGAAAAAATGAATTCAACTCAGCAAATGCTTGCTGTCCCACGCAATATTTCTCAACAGGCAAAGGAGCTGTGGAGGCTATTTCACAAATAGATCTATTTGTTTCCTGAAAAATTATATTTCCTAAAATCTTGAGCAGGCTCAAAATAGAGTCTAGGGTTCTGTTTTGTTCTGCAAGTTCACAGAATATTACAGAATTACAGAGACGTCTGGATTGGAGATACTCTGGTCCAACCTTCTGGAAGCTGGGCCCTGTATTAGGTTATCCAGGGCCTTGTTAGGCCAGATCATGAATACTTTCAGTGAGAGAGAGATTCCACTGCTTCTCCAGCCAATCTGTTCCAGCGTTTATTTTTTCTCCCAGTAAAGCATTTTTTTCTTGTATCCAGACAGAATTTCCCTGAAGCAACTTGTGCCTGTTGCTTCTTGTCGGGTCGCCGTGCATCCTTGTGAAAGGAGTGCCCCCATTTTCTCTGTAACTACCCTCTAGGCATTGGAAAACTATGATTAGATTCCCCTTGCATATTCTTTTCTTTAGGTTGAACAAACCCAATCCCTTGAATTGTTCTTCACATGCGTGTAGCACAGTGTAGTTTGGTTTCTATAGTGATTGACCTAGTGGGTGTCATTTGGCGTACTGACGCCTTTAAGTGTCTCCTCCTTTTTGGTACCATTTGAAATGTGTAGCAGTACTGTTTGAATGTATCAGGCATGCTAGTCCTGATACTCAACTTCTCTGAGGTGAGGTTAATTTTTTGGGTTACTAGCAAGTCAATTCTATTTAAAGGAAAAAATCTGGTTTGCAAGAAAAAGTATACACACAAAAAGAAAACCAGCACAGGTTATATGCTTCCTACAGTGTGCTTTTTCTCCCATCCTTTCTTGCTAGCTTCCCCTTTTTGAGCCACATTGTCCATGTTCCACTTCTAGCAATAGCTTTTGTGGCCCTGATGATCCTGTATTACCGGAGACAGCTGTTCTTTTTAATGGCAATTTGCCATTATGTGGTGGCAGTGTAGTGCCTGAACAGTTCAAGATGGTTCTCAGGTTTGGCATTTGTGCTGAGAAGTGGAGGGTTGTGTGTGTATGTACACATGCCCATGGGTTATTTCTGTTAGGTGGTTAAATTAGACACTGTTTGTGTGTTATAACCTGTGTTGAGTGTCTTAAAGCACCATGATCTTCTGCAAAATAGCTATCAGATCTCTCTGGATCTTTCATACCAGTTTGTATCTTCAGAAAGGTAGTAGATGATATTGTCATTTCATAAAAGCTTCTTCCTTACAAAAATCAGTGGACAAATTAGGTCAATACTGCGAGCAGATTTTTAGTTCAGGATTATAGGATACTGTAATAGAGAAATGCAATTTACAGATAAGTAATTTCTTCTTTATCAACACCCATTTAAGTCTATAACTAGAAGCACAGTAGCATATTGTATGTTGATGCAGGTGCTGATTTCTTAATTACCAATTGTTATTCGCACACCTGTTAACCAGGTAATATTTGAACATTTTGATGATTAAAGAAGCAGCCAGCTAAAGGATGTGTGTTTGGATGGGGAAAACCATATCTGACGATCAGCACTGTCTAGATGATCTTAACAGCTCGTGGTACCTCCTGGAATTTTTGGGTCAACAGTCCTTTTGTCAGCCACCAACATTTTGTGCAGACTGCTTATGGTCTGTTACTGTCATGTGGCATGCATTAACTTTAAGGTAGTCTGACCTAGTTGAAAAGTGAAAAGTCACACCTACCTGGTGTCACTGATAAGTGACTGACACCACTTGGAGCAGGGCCACAATGTACTGACTAGTTACTGTGTTCTGCTTCATCTGGTTTTGTGTATCGGGTATAGTTATATACATACAGATTCTTTAGTGTGCTCATTATAGACCGTATTTTTGTTTGCCTATTGCCTTGTGAGTTTCAGTTTCAAAAGTTGACACTTAAAATTAGCACTACAGGGTTTTTTGTAAATCCTATATTCTGTTATTCAATAGCACTACACATGACTGTGTAGCAGTATTATTTAAACAGAAAAATCTCTATCTTAATGAAGTATTGAGAGTATTTTATTTTGGAATACACAAATGTTACTCTGCAAGTTTTAAAAGTGAACTTTGTTTGGATCTGTAAGATATGCCATACTATATAGTACAGTTTTATGGATAAGTGATATTGCCAAGTCCCATCTGTCTCTGTGAATAATAGGTATTTAAATACCAATTTTAAATTATTTTAACAAGTTACATTTTTCTTTGTGGATCCAGGGGCAAAAAACCCCAATAGGTTAACACAGAGTTACACTGGATGTGATTGAGTGGAGAGTGAAGACTGCACATTCATTTTTAAATATGACATGTTAGGGATATAAATGTGTAATTATTGGATTTCCACCTCAGGGAAAAAAAATAGTAATTTTTTATTTTTCACCTAACTATTGGTAAGTTTTAAACTACAGAGTTCAGAATAATATCCTTGTTTCCCCTGCACGCGGGGGAGTGCAATGTAATGTGTTCTGGCCTATAAAAGATTCCAAAGACTCCTGTTATATTAATAACACTATTGTATGTTTTTTTGCTTTCATGCCATTGTAATTTCTCATGCATTGAGTCCACTATAGTGATATATTATTTTGCCAGGATAGCCATTATACAAGATTTTAAAAAGCGGATTAACCAACCAACAATTCCATTCCCTCTGACCTTCCAATTGAACCCCTCTCTTCGTCTCAGACTCTCGATTTAATGAAGTTGTTGCTCAGAAAAGAAAGGGATTGTCAGACCTGGAGACCGATAATAATTTCAGAAGAATACACACTTAGCACTGGAAGGACTTCTGAAAGAAAGGCATTTGTTAGTATAGGTTTGAAACTGTTCTTGCTGGTTGTGTACTCCTATGTCTGTGGTTGTGCACATTTCTTCAAATAAATAAAAGCTGTAAGCTTTCAGGGAGTGGTGACAGCTGTTTGGCCAAAAGTGACCACTTTTATGGTTGAAAAGGTAACTTTCGTCATGTTAACTGTGCCGAGGGAAACAACAGAAGAAACACCAACTGTTTTCAGGTCTGGTATGAGTTTAGAGTTGTGGACACCTGCACAGTAGATTGACAATGGATTTCCTGTAGTAAAACATTTCTCATAGGTCTTTAAGCATCTGTCAAACACATTGCATATTATTCCTGACTTGCTTCCATTTAAACAGGTGATTTGATGATTGTGAGCCCTCTTACCCACTTCTGAACTTTTTAACTATCCAATGAGTTGCTTGCTGTGGCCCTGTGCAGGGAATGAAGTCTGAAACATCTGCCTCCATCTCCGTTTACAGTTACGTGGCAAATGGCATGACGGCAATTAAATAATCCCGGAAAACTAGTCACGTCTTTCCTGCACTGTATGCATTTCTAAAAACTGTAGAAGTTATGTAATGATAAAGTAACATATTTAGACAAACTGGACTCACAAATTAAGCTTTCACTTCCCAGGGAGCATTTAAGAGTAATGTCTTGACTGATGGCAATTTTGGGGTTTTTCTCTTGCAGCTAGTGAGAGAGTGTAAAGAGGTTCTGAAGGGTGGCCTGTTAATGAAGCAATATTACCAGTTTATGTTACGGGAGGTGTTAGATGACTTACAAAAGATTGATTGCAACATTGATTCTTTCGAAGAGGACCTGCATAAAATGTTAATGGTAAGCTTCAAAAAGGAGAACGTATTTGGAGTTCTAGTAAGTGTGTTAATCTGAATACTGTTAATAGAAATCTATTGTTCCTGTTGGGTATAGGTCTTGCTATGTTTTTGTTGTTGTGCTACTTTAACATAATTTTATTGTTTTAATGGACTTGTAAAGGTAACACAGTAGCCATTGCCATTTTAGCAATGATTTTAGCGATACTGATTTTTGTCTACTGGACTGTCGTACAGTATACTTGTAAACTGCCTGTATTTACAATAAAATGGTTCGTAAATAGAACTGTAAATTCCATACATTTAAACTAAACTTTTAATAACTTTTTAGTATTGAATAAAAAAACAAATACACTTGTTTGACTAACATCATGTCTTAATATCTTGGTATTGCATTCATCTATTAATGATACCTTATGTTTAATGGGTATTCATTATTGCAATAAGTTAAACACAAAGAAGTATTTTCAAGACAATCGCTAGTGTTTTGTTAGCAGAGCTGTTGGTACCATCTGTTGTTGAGTACACATGGATTTTCCTATTACATGCTTTTCATTGCCGACAGTGGTGAAAATACAATGTTTTACCTGAAGTTTCTTATGCTGCGTGCCTGCCTTCATCTCCATCTGAAATTTCTAGAAACTTCCAGCAGAAATGACGTGGCTGGATGACAGGAAAATGATTCATCTTGTCTTTGAAATTCCTTACCTGTTTTTTTAGGTAGCTGTAATGTTTTATTGCTTTGAGGCTAGAGCTTGAACTTTGGTGGCAGTTTTAATTGTATAAGTATTTTGGTTTTTTTAGGTCTTGAAAGCAATGGTAACAAGACCGTGTAAATAGGAATAAATATATCAGACTTCAGAGAATCACAGTTTGTGCCTATTCAGAGTTGCAGGTTACTGTAGTGCCAGCAGCAGGGGGGAAAGATTGGATGAATGGTCAAGATTGTCAGAAGATTGGGACAACTGAGCAAAGAGGGCTGAAGAGATGATCTGGACTGACAATAGGGATAGGGAAAACTTCTGTGAAGTCAGAAAGTTAAGACAGGATTAATGAGGGGTAGGGGGTGGAACTTTGTCTTTTCCTGTGGACTCCTTGTATAGGTAGGCAAGGTAGCTAAGAAGAGTACAGGAAGAGTAATATAGGCTGAGAGCGAAAGGAGAATTAAATAAAGTCAAGAATGGGGCTACAGCCTGAGACTATCAGTACACAGTACCTACCTAAGCCAGAGTAGACTTTTAAGGTTTTCTATATCCACTCTCGTGAGACCCCACCTGGAGTACTGTGTTCAGCTCTGGGGCCCCCAGCACATGAAAGACATGGACCTGTTGGAGCGGGTCCAGAGGAGGGCCATGAAGATGATCGGAGGGATGGAACACCTCTCCTATGAGGAAAGGCTGAGAGAGCTGGGGTTGTTCAGCCTGGAGAAGAGAAGGCTCCGGGGACACCTTATAGCTGCCTTCCAGTACCTGAAGGGGGCCTACAAGAAGGCTGGAGAGGGACTTTTTGCAAGGGTATGTAGTGATAGGACAAGGGGTAACGGCTTTTAAACTGAAGGAGGGTGGATTTAGATTAGATATAAGGAAGAAATTCTTCACTATGAGGGTGGTGAGGCACTGGAACATGTGGCCCAGAGAAGTTGCGGATGCCCCATTCCTGGAAGTGTTCAAGGCCAGGTTGGATGGGGCTTTGAGCAACCTGATCTAGTGGAAGGTGTCCCTGCCCATGGCAGGAGGGTTGGAACTAGATGATCTTTAAGGTCCTTTCCAGCCCAAGCCATTCTATGATTCTATGATCTTGGCATTATTACAGTGTGGTCCAAAAATACCTGAAACCAACAGGAAATGTCTTAACCATTTCTAAGGAGGGACATTGCTTGATATTATGGATTATTGAACTAAAACAAATTGCAGCTAATTTTTTGCATTCGGTATGATCCTGCAGGGCAGATGTTTGAAGAAGAATTGTACTTACCTGGATTTTTATGTTGGTTTAAAGCAATAATAATTAAATAAAGGTGAGCGATAAGACCTGATATAAAGGAACACAAGGTATAATGTAGAATCTGAGAAGCTTGTTCACTGCGCTTACCCATACGCAGGAGGATGTGTTCAGAGAAAACCTTTTGGAGTAATCCAGTTAATTAAAGATCTAGAAACTGTTTTTCAGTAGTTCAGCTTTAAAAACTCTGGCCACTGTGGGTATTCACTGATACAATGGTGAACAGCAGCACAGCAAGCAAGGTGGTGATACTGTCAGTGTTTTCAGAAAAGTATCATGGAGACATAGTACTTAATACTTCAGTAGCACTTTCTACTTCCGAGCCATAAATTGCACCTTTTGTGTGGAAACACGTAGCTCATTTCAGTCATAGCAAACAAAAAATGTTGTAGAAATATTTTCTACAAATTTTATGATATTGGAATTGTTTGTTGATTTGAGAAGCTATAGTCCTTAGTACATCTGTGTAACGATTTCTGTTTAAATTATCTCTTTTCATGTACAGGTTTACTTTGATTATATGCGAAGCTGGATCCAAATGCTACAGCAGTTACCTCAAGCGTCTCATAGTTTAAAAAATCTGTTGGAGGAAGAATGGAATTTCACCAAAGAAATAACTCCTTATATAAGAGGAGGTGAAGCTCAAGCTGGAAAACTATTCTGGTAGGTTTTATTTAAGTACTCTGCTTACGGTGTTGATTTGTACCAGATACGTATTCAAGTCAGCACTTGTTCAGGGTTCCCAGACTGGGTTTCTTGAGGCCTCAGTAAGTAGTTGATAGTCTTCATGACTTTATGGATTATTACAATGACTGTTGCTATAGGATGCAGTAAGTGCAGATTGCTCTTATTCTAGCTATAACAGGAATGACTGCTTCTATGGAAAGTCCCCGTTCCTGCTAGCCCTGTGGATACAGAGTAACTGAGGGACCCCAAGATGCTTGTGTCTGCAGGCAGACTTAGCAACGCTGCTGTCTTGCGTTGGACAGAGTAGGAAGAAGTTTAAGGTGCCATGCTACCTGAATAAGACTCTGAAGTTCCACCATTTCTGTTGCTACAGTGATATTGCGGGAATGCTGCTGAAATCTACGGGAATATTTTTAGATTCTGGACTACAAGACAGTTGTGATGAATTTTGGGCCAGTGCCGATGACAGTACTGCATCAGATGAAATCAGGTATTAAGACCTTTGGCTTAATAATAATAAATGCACTTACTTGTGTTTCTGTACCCCTGACAGGTACATACTGCATTTTATTTCTTAGAATGAAAACTTCGTAAATGCAAGACTCCATAGACTTTATTGCTGATACTTCTGTATGCAGTCGTAATGAACCATCATTTTGTTTGTTTGAAGCCTAGTAACCTTCTTTTTAGTTCAGGGTATGAGAGATTGTTTATGTAACATTCTTTAAATTCAATTTTTATATCTTTATCAAAAATATGCCTGTGCGAGTTCAATTTATTTCAGTCAGCTGCTTGTAAATATTTCTTTTCTATGTTGTTTCTATTGACATATATGTAAATAATCCTTATTTTCTAATAGCTATAAAAATGCAATATGATTTAATAAATCATTGTGACTTCATTCTTATCAATGTTTCAGGAGGTCTGTAATAGAGACCAGCCGAGCACTCAAAGAACTGTTTCATGAAGCTAGAGAAAGGGCCTCCAAAGCTCTTGGTTTTGCTAAAATGCTGAGGAAGGTAAGTTAACAGCAGAGTCTCATGTTATATGCTTTAAAGAAATTCAGTCTGAAAGCATATTCTTTTGTTTTGTCATTACTTGTAGGACCTTGAAATAGCAGCAGAATTTGCATTGTCAGCCCCTGTGAGAGATCTTCTGAACGCTCTGAAAACAAAAGAGTATGTGAAGGTAAATTCAGTTTAGAGGCATGAAAGTAGAGTGGTGGTGTTAAGCAAAATGTTGAAGGATATTTATTGCCGTACTTCTAAATTTTTTAATATGGCATCTATATCTCAACATTTAAAATGTTGTGTATTTAATATTAAATTGTGGCAGTCAAATTATTTTCTGTACCTGAGTTTGTGTGAGTGAGAATGCTAGTCTATGTTTTGGGAAATCAGTGTCTAATTCCTTGTCTTCCCAAAAATTCTCTTTGACTTAGGAAAAGCCATTTTGCTTCAATAGTACTTACTCATTTGTGGGAGGGAAGTAATAACACTTTGTAGGGACTGTTATGAAAAATAAATGCTTTAAAGTTTATGAGGTAAACAGATACATCAGTAAATGGACATGTTTAAGTAGATAATCTCAGACTATGGACCTGTGTTTTGTGTACTCGTATAGTGGAGGTCTGCTCTAGCGAGCTTCCTTGAGAGTACTAAGGATGTGAGAAATGCAGGGACTGTGTTCTGTTTCAGAATAACTGTTGCTAGAAAATTGTTGTACATCAAAAGTAGGTTAAACTCTCAGTGCCCAATATTTATGGTGCTATAAATTCCCACATTTATAGTTTTGCACTTTATTCCTTAAAAGTTCCTAGGTCAACAAAATTTTTATTGTAGTTTGAATTTAGGTAAATAAATTGCTTCAACAGATTAAATTTACTTGGATCTGCTGTTCTTTTTTGTCCTTCCATACATTTAATATATAAAATTCCCAACTGGGAAATAATCTACCAATTTTTGCATGACAAAGTTCTTGTTAGATTGATGTAAATGATTGCTAAAAGTAGAAATTGGTCAAGGGGAGACTGACAAGCTCATAGGAGAGAAGTTCATAAAGGGTTGTTAAATACGTGGATAATACATCTGGCTCAGCAGGACCCTGGTCTGTGAATTGTTTAAGAGTGGGAGAATAGTCAGGGAAATCAGTTTATGTTTATTTTTTAAAAAAATATTTTTCCCCAGGTATCCACTCTTGGCTGCTTTAAGACATAATATTAAATTTGGTAGACCTTTTAGTTAAAGATAGTATCATTGTTCTTATGCACATGTTTTGAAGAAAAAATTGAATCTTGAGTTTGAAAAATCTGTGTAAGCACATGGGTTAAATAATCTAGATAGATTATTTGGATCTCAAGATGTATCCCTCTCTATGTATTACCTCTCCCCTTTTTTTCACCACTCAAAATGACACACATTTTGGTGATTAACGCTTCATATATTGGCCCTCTAACATCATGTAGGGAGTTTAAATTTTTATCAGCCTTTTCAATCAGATGCTCATTAGTTTTGGGAAACTATTTTAGCTTTCACTAACAACCACCTAGTTTTTACATTGACTTATAGATTATAATGGTTTTAATTAATAAAATATGGCTGCCTAATGGTAAAAATGTTGAGTGCAGTGTTTTGTCTTAGCTTGATGACATCAAACTCTGAAAAGAGAGCCTTAAACTTCATTGTAAGTCAGTTACCTCATGTCAAATCACAGGTATCAACTATTTTACTGTTTTCACAGTCCGATTCTGATGCCTGACTTGGTTAAAGTATTGTTACCAATGTGACAGATATAATGCAGAAGTAGTTTTTAAGTAGTATAAGTAATATTTTATTAAAAGCAAACACTCTTATTGGACTTAATGAATTTCTCTTTCATGAATAGTAAAAGAATAACTGATATTTTTTTAGCCATATTTTTGCTTACTCTTGTAGCCATTGAGAAATGTTATGTGGATTCTTAGAGTTCCTGAAGGAATTTTTCTTCTTTTAATATTCCAGTCTTAAAAATGTGTGCTTCGTAAGTCTTAAATTAGTCTTAACTAATTTACTTTTTAAAATACGTGTATATATATTTTATACATATACACACATATGTAGTATATATGTGAAATTGGACTTTTTTGTAACAGGATTCCTTTAGAAGAATATGTAGAAGGATCAATTGAAGGTGCAAGGAAAGATGTCACTGAAAGTTGGTGATCTAGTGGATTTCAAGACAAATAATTTCTTATAATGCATTTTGACTTCTAGTGCAAAAATGGCTGAATGTATTGGTTTAGTATATATGTTGCACAGCTGTTTAAGAAGGAAACTCTCCCTGCTGCTTAAATGAGGTGACATTTATCTATTTTATGTATCATAGAAGACAGTGAGATTCACTCATTTGGTATATTTTTATTTTTTTTCTACAGGTACAAATCCCTGGACTTGAGAGTTTACAAGTATTTGTACCAAATAGTATTGCAGGGGAAAAATCTGTGATTTTGCAGCTTCTCAATGCAGCTGCTGGAAAGGATTGCTCAAAGGATTCAGATGAGGTTGCATATGAGGCCTATTTACTAATGACCAAACACAGTGATAAAGACCATGAATTAGATGACAGCTGGAGTGCATGGGAGGGTCAGCCGGTCAAAGTAGTGCCACAAGTAGAAACTGTTGATACACTGCGTACCATGCAGGTGGGTTTTGTTGGGGTTTTTTCCCTGTTTATGTGATCTCCACACTTCTACAAATGCTTATCCTTTCAGATTAACCACAGTAATTTAAGTGAGGCATGTGTCCTTTTATAGGTAATAAAAAAATAAATTCAAGGATAGGATTGATTCTTAGTTGTGTTAATGCAAGTATTAAATTCAATGGATTTTAGCATTTCTTACAAGGACTAATCTCTACAATGTCCGTTTTTCAGGGTTGGACTTTTATAATAAAGAGATACTTTCAGTGTCTAGTTGGGGGTTCAGTATCAGAAGTGTGGATAGGACTTGAAAACTGTACATTTTATTAAGAAGTCACCAGTCTCCAAGAACGTGTGGCAGTTGTGTGCTTTACACACACTGAGGCATGAAACCGGTTACTTTCTGTCTTGGATGAATTGTGACATTTAAAGTTGAATTTCTGTGGAAGCTCCTGGATGTTCAACAGTTCTGCAGGAAGAAATCTTTCCAGTCATACTTCCCTTCATCCCAAGCCAACAGGGGTTCCCTGCCAGCAGTTCTGCTATGCTCTAGCAGCTGAGCCAGCTGCAGCTCCCTGCCCTTCCTGTTCTCATATCCTTATGTTAAGCGAAGTGAATTTTCCTTTTGGTATGTCATGCAGTTCCTTGGATCCCTACCATAAATGGGCTCTGCTGTCCACGAACAGAGTGACTTTCTGTGTCGCTGTGCCTGGCCTCTAGCATTCAGAGGGCTCTAGCAATTACAGGCAGTTGAAAAAGTCACTCCTGTACATACTGCTGTTTTTAACGTGCAAGCGTGTTACTTCTTCCAGACTGAACAGTAGAAATACAGCCTTTGATTAACTGCTTAGAATTTCATTGGGCTTCTGTCAAAGTTAGCATTTCATTCAGAAAATGAAAACAGCAAAAGCTGGAATTTGGTTTGCAAATGTATTCTATCTAACATATGTAAAAAATGCTGGGTGTTTGTGTATGTCTTTATATGTATATGTGTATAACACTGTTTATTAATTTTTGAAAATCGAATATTGAAAGGTTAGGAAGTAAAAAGTCCTTCAGAAAGATTGTCCTGTGTTTTTTAAAAACATGTTTTGATTGCAAACTGGAGAAAATGTAAGGTGTTATTTTAAAAATACTCATAAAATAGAAGAATCTCATGAACATTTAAACAATTTTGAGCATGAAAATATTTTTGGGGGATGAGGTATTGCAAATCTGGATGGAGTAGGTCTTGTTTTATGAGTCACTTGTTGCAGATGCATTGTCTGTAGTTTGAAATCAACAGAGCTTAGTATGTGACTCATAGTGCCGCAGCAAAGGCAACACCATCTGTGACTGTGTACTTTTATAGACTTCTGCAATATCAGAGGTCTGGTTTCCAAAACATATTCTTACATTTTAATAATTTTCAAAATTTGAGCAAATACTGTGTGGTATCTGCGGCTTTCCTTGTTCAAGAGTAGGTTTTTGTCCTGAAGTGTATTACATTACTTGGATAAAACCTGCTTATTTATGTGATGGTTGTTACCTCCATCTGCTTTGAGAAAATATAATTATTTTGCTTAGATGCTGCCTTTCTGTGTATAACTATTCTGAAGATAATTTTAATACAGTGTTCCCCAAACCTTTCCGGAAGTGAATAGAAGTATATTCCCCTTGAAAACTTGCTGTGGCATTTGCCCTAATAGAGCTTTGCTCATAAGATGAGAGTTTATCAAGTTCAGTTGCCAGCATCAAGCTTTTCTGTGTGAATTAAAGATTTTCATGAACAGTGACAAAAGAGGTCTTTCATACTTTAGAATTAAAAGAATAACCAGTTGGAACTTGCTGATACGGGACATGTTTTTACAGAGAGGATTTTGTTTATAAGAACTAATGGTATCTTGTATTCCTAGGTTGATAACCTCCTCCTTGTAGTCATTCAATCTGCCCACCTTGTGAGTCAGAGAAAAGCTTTCCAGCAGTCTATTGAAGGGCTCATATCTCTGCACCAGGAACAGACATCCAGCCAACCAGTCATCGCCAAAGCTCTACAACAGCTAAAAGTAAGCAGTTTTTGAGATTATCTTAGTCAAAACTGATGGTGCTTTGTTCACTGATAAGTAAAAATGTGTAAGGAGACTTGATTGCAATGCTAATGACGCATTCTGCAATTGTAATTTATGCAACCTCTATGGATTTTACTTTCAGTACAATTTTCATTCTGTTTTTGCAAAGAATTTGTGAGTGTATTTTTGAGCAATATTGGTGTAATCATTTTTGCACTGGGTAAGTGGGAAACAAGTCCATAATGCAATAGAAATATTAATAGCAACAGAATAAATACACCTTCATATGAGAGCACTGTTGAACTGAAAGGAAGTGTTTGTTTTCATAAAAATAAATTCTACCAAAATCCATGATCTGGAAGAAACAACTTTTTTCCTTATATTTGGAGAAGATGGCTGCTTTGTGATGTAAAAGTGGGTAGGTGTCTCTCTGGTTTTTTGCTCTTGTTTTTGGTGGGGGTTTTTTTGTTGTGGTGGTGGTGGTAGGTTTTTTTTGCTGGATGAGGGCTTTCTTTGGTGGGTTTTTTTGTTTGTTTGGGTTTTTTTCGGAGGAGCCAGAAGAGCAAAGGTTTGTTAGGTTGAAGTTGCAATATCAGGTTCCCCCTGAGTTCAATAGAAGCTGCGTCCACATACCAGCGTGAAAATACAACCAAGGGCTTGGTCACATTATAGATAGTAAAACTAATTTTCTCTATTCTTGTCTGTCTGATTTTGGTTGGGTGTTGTTTGCTTGGGTTTGTTTTTGTTTGTTCCCCCCCCTTCGCTGTCTTTGTTTTTAAAGTCTCGCTCAAGCAAACGAACTTAATTATAATACTTCAGTTAATTAAAAGACTTGCTTAGTGCAACTGGTAGAAAATGTTTGTTTTTCCAAGACTGAACGAATTGTGATGGCATTAAAGTACATTTCCATTTAAAATAATGTAATTGTTAGATTCATGTTTGCCTTAGTCTTGTCAAATGTAGAATATAAATAATAATTTGGTGCTCCACCCCATCCGTTTTTCTTTTTGTTACTCAGAGTGATGCATTACAGCTATGTAATAAGATAAGCAGTGCCATTGATAGAGTTGATCACATGTTCACATCTGAGTTTGATGCTGAAGTTGATGAATCTGAATCTGCTACTTTGCAGCAATACTACCGGGAAGCCATGATTCAGGGTTATAATTTTGGGTTTGAGGTAAGGAAACAAAAACTTAATGACACAATTGTTTTGTAGTATTGGTAAAAACCAATTGGAATGTCTGTTTTTGCATTGGTGCAAATAAGGTAACTATAACTCTGTGGAAATATGAAGAATTCTAGCAGAATGTCATAAAAAATACATGTTGCCACAGAAATCTTACGTGAAAATGGTTGAAAAAGAACAGATAGATCTATTAAATTCAGACTCCAATTAGCAATGCCTGGAACTCACAAAAGTTTTAAGAACTTGATGAATTCAGATGTAGTCTTGTAGGCTCTGCTACTTGGCAGCATTTTAGATGAAATCAGAAATATCCTTTGATATTGAATGTCATTGTGTAACTTGGCTTCTCACAGTTTTTCAGCCTAGAATAGCATAATACTGTAATAGGATCCATTCTTTCAAAGTTTATGGTGGTACTTTGATGCAGTGGATATAGCTTTTGAGTGCCTGCCTTAGAGTGCTGATGAGGAAGTGTCATGTTCAGATGCTTTTAGTATACTGTTTTACTATTTGATTCCTGTGAGCTTTGTAAAATTTTTTAAGATTGTATCATACTCTAACATACTTCTAAGGGTAGTCTTCTAAAAAACAGCTGGTATTTCTGTTTAATTTTTTTAAAATGTACATATATAACTCCTTTATCCCCTAATGTTACCTGTAATATAACTAAAAACAATCACTACTTAGCAGTTCAATCTCTGATTACAAAACTGAGCTTTAATGTAGGATGTTTCTTAAATGATTGTCGTGGTTTAACCTCAGTCGGCAACTAAGCACCACGCAGCCGCTCGCTCACTCCCCCCCACCCAGTGGGATGGGGGAGAGAATTGGAAGAGCACAAGTGAGAAAAACTCGTGGGTTGAGATAAAAACAGTTTAATAATTGAAATAAAATGATAATAATACACAAAGCAAGTGATGCACAATACAATTGCTCACCACCCACCGACTGATGCCCAGCCAGTCCCCGAGCAGCGGCCCCCCCCGGCCAGCTTCCCCCAGTTTATGTACTGAGCATGACGTCACATGGTATGGAATGTCCCTTTGGCCAGTTTGGCTGTGCCCCCTCCCAGCTTCTTGTGCACCTGCAGCCTTCTCAGTCGGTAGAGCATGGGAAACTAAAAAGTCCTTGGCTAGTGTAAGCATTACCTAGCAACAACTAAAACATGGGTGCGTTATCAACTTTGTTCTCATCCTAAATCCAAACCACAGCACTGTACCAGCTACTAGGAAGGAAATTAACTCTGTCCCTGCCGAAACCAGGACAATGATGTTAAACATCAGCACATGCCCATGTGCACACAAGAATGCAATATGGCTCAAGTGCTGCCTCTTACTATAACACATTTTGTATCATACACTTTTCATGATTTTTTTTCTATAAATATGCAACCGCTTGCATAAAATAATTTCGTCTAAGAATAGGATGTGACTGTTACCATACTGTAGTTTTGTGTATTCCGGTTGATACTGCAAATGGTATTTTTGTTCTTTTTATTAATATGTGAAAAGTAATCTCTAGTTTCTTACAGTACCATAAAGAAGTTGTTCGTCTGATGTCTGGAGAATTCAGGCAGAAAATTGGAGACAAGTATATCAGCTTTGCCAGAAAATGGATGAATTACGTGCTAACAAAATGTGAGAGTGGCCGAGGCACTCGACCCAGGTAACAGCCAACTTGTTACTGCCGTAGTAGTTTGTGTTTAAATACCATGCAGGACTTTTCACACTGTGAATAATGCTTTATTGTTTAGAAGTAGTTCTGAACTATTGATGCTTCTGGCTGTTAAATTTTGAAAGTAATTTGAATAGTGAATGCATAAAGCCAAATGAATACTCCAGCTGCTTAGCAGAAGATCTTGTGGAACACTTTGTCTCATGTTAGCTGACGGAAAATGGGAAGAAAAAGTGGAGATTGTTGGACCCAGACAATTAGAAGACTTTAGATAATGGTTGTTAGGTTGGAATAAAAGTGCTATGTGATCAGGAGTCAATAAAGATTGCAGAATATGCAACAGTCATTCTCTGGGTCTTCTACAGAGAAAGGAGTATTGTTTTATGCCAGTTGTGGAAACACGTACATATGGGAGCTTTAGCCTCCTGTAGAAGTCCTTTTATTAGTCCTTTCTGAAAGCATCTAAAGTATGGCCCACAGATGAGGAATTTCCACTGGTGAAAATTCTTCAGTTTTACGATTGCAGTAGTGGATGCATTTGTGGATGTTTTTTGTTGTAGTCTGAAGTATTTTCTGTCTGTTGACAGTAGTGTTGTGCCCAGTGGTGTCTCAAATTGTGCTTACAGTCTGTGCTATGAAACTGTACTGCTGGGCACTAATGAAAAAAGTTAAAGTTACACCACTTTGAGGATGTAAACAGAGGAACTGGGAAACTGGCCCAAGCAGAATGATACCATTACTCAATTTATTTAGGTGGTTTTGCAGCATTTTGCAGCTGGTATATGAGAAATTTAGTAGAGTTCTTTTGCATTAAAATAGGTGCCTTACATTGATCTGTGCTAGCAGATTACACATCAGTGACAGTTTTGTTTCCTTAAAGTATAGGGCTGATCAGTCTGTCCTGGAGGTGGTTTGTTCTGCTTGCTGGAAGACGAGGAGGAAAG